CATCAGGACAAATAAAGAGCCAATTTGTGTAAACAAGAAAAATACGGTACACAGTTTATACCAAATTTCATAAAAACTAGTACAACTGAATCATTCAGGCATTTTTTTTCTAAATCTTAAGTAGTTTTAAATTCTTTAAAGGCAATTCTGATGGTTTTGAGAGAAAGATCATAGAATTTAGATTATTTAAGAAAACAACAAGCTAGCATGAGCTAATATGTTTTACTTTTTATATCAGTATTGATCACATATTTACATACAACTTGATTTCTGTTGTGGGTATACAAACCCCACCCCCACAAAATTGTGTTTGGTCACATTTTCAAAGAGCCACTGCAGAGGGGCCAAAGAGCTACATGTGGCCCCTGAGCCGCAGGTTGCAGACCCCTGCTTTAAGGGGACAGAGATGTTCATGAAATCTCCATTTAGAACCAGTCTGAAAGAACGGTGCAGCTCAATCCAAGGAGTCAGATTGTGGAATAATCTGGAAGAAGATGCTAAAAATAATAGATTAATGTTCAAAAAAATGATAAAAGTGGAGCTTTTGAAGAAATATAAAACAGTTTAATATATATTCATGTAAATTTGTGTTCTAGAAGGATTGAACTTTTTTATGTTTTGCTTTATGTTAATTTAAGATTAGTATTGTTTAAGTTTATGTTTGAAGGAAAAAAGGGGCAGATGTAAGATTTTTTTCTTCTCTCTGCTTCCTTTCATTTCATTTTTTCTTTTTTTGTATTTGTACCTAGAATTGATTTTAAAAGAAATGAATAAAGATTTAAATTAAATGTGTAAATCTTAAATGTTGCAGCTAAATATTAAAGTTTATATCTGTGTATTTCTGAACAAAATACAGCCTTTGCTGTCGGTGCTCAGCTTTTGTTGTGATGTCATCATCCTGCGACAAAACCAACTGCTAACGCTGCTAACAGTTTCCTACAAGACATAAAACTTGCAGCCGGTGTCTGAGCTGCACTTCAAACTGTCGGAGCACGATCTGTAGCATCGGCTCATGTTTTTACTTAAATACTACCAGCAGGGCTTTGTTTGTTTTTAGCATGTAGCATGTTGGTAGATGGCTTGATGACAGAATGGATTTGATCTCAGTGTTTCAGAGAAAAGGTTTGCAACAGATGTAGATTTTTATTCCAGGAAAAACAATAAAACTGAGATGAGATTAATTGTATTCTAGAAAAATGGGTCTGTTTAGGTCCAGTGTTAGCAGAGTTAGCAGCATTAGCAGAGTTAGCGGTTGCTTTTGCCGCAGGATGATGATGTAACAACAAAAGCAGAGCACAGGCAGTAAAAAGGCTGAAAGACTTAAATATAAACTTCAACATTTAGACCGAACATTTAAGATTTAAATAATGTTTAGATTTAGGATTTAACATTTATATTTAACATTTAGTAAAAATGAGAAAAGTAACAGTGAGTTAAAATGTTAGTGAGTGGAGATGTTTTAACTTGGATTTTCCACTCAGACTGAGCTAAATAATGAAAATGTTTTTGTGATRTTTAGTTATAATTTGAGGATGACTCTCAGCTACCACCAGGCTAAATTCAGTCTTTGTGTTGGAACTGCAGCAGCTGCGGAGGCCATTTTGAATGTGTGGAGGAATGATCAGTGATCAGAG